CCCCTGTCACGGCAGAGAGCCGTGACAGGATCGAGAGGTGAGCGAACGCCGGTATGTGTTCGCTCACCTCCCGATCTACTGAGCCAACCTGTGACAGTCTCATTGTCACAGGTCGGCTAGAACTATGAGGTGAGTGGAAATCACTCATCTCATAGTTCTCCTTTAAGCGTTTCGTTGCTCGTTGTGTCGCACAAAGTTTCCTTCTGAATGTCTATGGGACAAAAAAGAACTGGAATCTCCCAAAAAGTAGCTCGTACTTTTTTCAGTGACAGGTGTTTTTCTGCTTGTGACAAAACACTCAGGTGTGAACAGGGGCCATAGAAATTAATGGAATTCCTTGTCTTGAGCGTTTTTTTGCGCTTAGCTTTGAGCGACAACCCGCCTATGTGTGAATGGAGCGTAATGGCTGAACACAGAAGTAAGCATGCTAATGTCTGGAGGAAATATCTGGTTGAAATGGAAATACAACCCCAGTTCCCAAAAAGTTGGGACACTGGGTAAAATCTACACAAAAACAGAATGCAATGATTTGCAAATCTCATAAACCCAGATTTTATTCACAATAGGAAATAGAAAACATATCAAATGTTTAAACTGAGAAAATTGACCATTTTAAGAAAAAAAAGGTAAATTTGGAAATTGATGGCAGCAACATGTCTCAGAAAAGTGGTTCTGACCAGGAAGAGCTGGGAGAACATGTTGTAGCTAATTAGGTTAATTGGTAACAGGTCAGCAACATGATTGGGTATAAAAAGATGCTATTTTTATACCCAATCATGTGGGGGTGGAAGGTGTGTGTGTAAGGTGGGAAGATGATGAGTTTGGGGGGTGGAGAGTCAGAAGGGGTGATTTACTAACCTAAACACACACACGCACCAGGTGCGTGTGCATTTTTACACAGCAAAACGTATTTATCAACCAAACACGAGCAACGTGTCACATTTTCACGCCGTTATGTCGCATTTTTATGTATTTATGTACGTTCGCGTCATGTAGCATGCGCCATAGGCTACACGCCGCTCTAATAGCGGCATGCAAGTGCAAGTGTGTATGCCATGGGCAGCTTGCACATCTTTAAAGACACCATCAATGCTGAAAGATATATCCAGGTTTTAGAGCAGCATATGGTCCCATCCAGATGAAGTCTTTTTTCATGGAAGGCCTTACATATTTAATCAGGACAATGCTAAACAGCATACATCTATGACAACAGCATGGCTTCGTAGTAGAAGAGCGCATCTTAAAAACGAAAAATACAACAAAGTAAACCCAGGACTGTTGAGCAGTTAGATTCCTATGCCAGGCAAGAATGGGACAACATTCCTCTCCTAAAACTCCAGCAGTTGGTCTGCTCAGTTCCTGGATGTTTACAGAGTGTTGGTAAAAGAAGAGGGGATGCTACACCGTGCTAAACATGGCCCTGTCCCAACTTTTTTGAGATGTGTTGCTGCCATCAATGTAAAAAATGGTCCATTTTCTCAATTTAAACATTGGATATGTTTTCTGTTGTGAATAAAATCTGGGTTTATGAGATTTGCAAATCATTGCATTCTGTTTTCATGTAGATTTGATACAACTCTTTTGGAATTGGGGTTGTAGTTGAATCTGTCTTTTCTTTGGTAAGGACTGTAAATGATGCAACTCGACATACTATTATACGCTTCATTGTAAATCTTGCACTTTTCTTGGGAAATACACACACCACCTCCTTGACATAGAAGTAAAGGTGTGTACAAGGCCCTCTCTACAGAACATGTCAGAGTATCTTGAGGGGTAGCCACACCTTTCCTAAGAACTGGCAGCCTCTCTTCTCCCCCAGCAGCACTGCCCTGACATTTTTACAGAAGGTGTGACTTTTTACTTTGCTGCATGTAATGTGTATATTATGTCTGTAAGATTCATTATGGCTGAGCTTTCACTCGCTGGTAACAACCACATTATTCATTTATGATGCTTTGTAATGATGGTGCCCTGTTAGGTGGCCTTTAGAACATAATGTGTCTCAGGCATAATACACTGCTAGTATTCTCTACAGCAGATTAAGCTGGCCAAATACTGTTAGAATTTGAGCTGATTTACAGGAATCGGCCAAAATGCTAAGGGTGTGGCCCTGCCGGCTGGACCAAAATTGATTACGTAATTGACTTTTGTTAAAGGAGCCGGGCTAAAAATTGTCAGCTGAGAGGTAACTGCAACCAATCAGCTGCAGTCAATGTTTGAGTATCCTGACACCAGAAGCAGAGGCCCAGCAATTAGTTAATCATTTGGTTTTAAGGAAGAGAGGATCCCTCCCACATGGCATTGATTCCACTTTTCTTCACTGCAGGAAAAAAAATACAAGGGCAGTAGTCTGTGGTAGTCTGTTATTGAAGAGTAAAGGGGCAGCAGCAGATTGTGCTCTATATTCCAGCAGCTCTCTGTTCTAGATTAATAGGATTATGTATTGTGGTAGAGCCTCACTGCATTATAGTGCGGTCCCATTTTTTGCACACATGTAACAATCCACATTACTTAACCCCTTCGTGACAGTGTACGTCGCCAGCATCGGGGCTGTTTAAACAGACTCCCGGTGACTTTTGCCGCCGGGACTACACAATCATTATATATTTTCTGAAAGCAAAGACTCCATAGAATAAAATAGTGGCAGTTACAAATTTTTACGCTGTCCGATATTAGCGCATCTCTTTATCAAGCCCAAAAATTTTGTTAAAAATGCAATACCCATTTCTTTTCTAAAATATAAGAGATGAGGTTACAACGAGTAAATAGATATCCAACATGCCCAGGTAAAAAAAATTGTGTAGGGTCCGTGAAACAGTGACAAAATATGGGACCCCAAATGGTCCATAGGCGACGCTTTAAAAGCCCATACAGGTCATCAGTTAGAGATATGCATAAATATGGGCCCTACAATTATTGCACTCACTCTGGCGTGCACAGCAATACACAACATGTGTAGCGTGATTGACATTTTCGTATGTAGGCGCACCCAATGCTTGTATGCAGTAGTGACCGGTACTCTTAAAGGTTACAATAGGGTTCCAAAAGTCCCCTAGTGTCCCCTTTCCACTTTAAATCAGCTATTGGTTCGCACTCCAACAGCTTATTGCTCAGCTTCTGTAGCCGAGCAATGACAGCTACGGGACCGGAAGTGAAGCAATCAGCATCACTTCCGGTCCCGTAGAGCGGGGAGAGATCAGCGAACGGAGGTTCTCCTCCCCAGCTTCCCGCCGACACCCGACATGCCGGTCTCGGGCTCGCAGCAGGGGCAGCGTAGCCTGGGAAACAAGGCAGGGGTGTCGGGCAGGGGGGGTACACACACTATCCTGGCCCATGGAAATGATCTGGCGGCAACTGAGCCGCCAGAATCGCTTCCATCACTTCTGGTGGTGGCAGCGAAAGGGTTAAAGTGTATTTCCACTTTTGCAGTTAGATTAGGATTGCATCTTCTTTATATTTTTATCTGTTACATCTTACCATTCACATTATATAACAACAACAAAAATTTAAAAAGGGCTGTTTACCTTTTTACTTGCTGTTTTCTGAAAACTCCAAAACTGAATTTCCCCCTTGTGTGTAATGTAAAGGAGGGGGCTGCAGAGCTGATATTTACCACAATTAAACACTGTCTGTACTGTGCTGGCAGATCTCATTATAAATTAGATTTGAACAGTGTTGGGGAGATTCATGGAAAAAACAGGAGCAGACCGTTTTCTTATGGCAGCCAATCAGCTTCTCTCTTCAGTTGGTTCAGTTGAAAATGAAACTGCGAAACTAATTGGTTGCCATTGGCAACTGCTCCAGATTCTGTCTGCTCCAGTTTTTATGAGTTTCCCCCCCTGTGTGTCCCAACACAGATTTTAAGATCTCGGGGCTTGTATACTGCTTTGTATGTTTATGAGGGAAAACTGAGTCTGTGCCTCTCCACTTTCACTTTCAAACTGTTCAGAGTAGCTTGCAGTCTGCCCAAAGGCCTACTCCAAGGAAACAAATGAAAAGGCAAGACATATTCATAACTATGCTGTGTTAATGGGAACACATAGCAATCTTATAGTGTTTTTTTTTTTACAAATTTGATTGAAAAAGTGGAAATACACTTTAAAGGAGAATTATGGGGTGAGTGAAAAACACTCCTTCCCATAATTCAAACCAACCTGTAACAAGGGGGCTGTCACAGGTCAGCTCTATTGATTGGGAAGTCAGCGATCACATACCGCCGCTCGCTGACTTCCTGATCCTCTCCCTGCAGATGGCAGTGAATGTCAGTCACTGCTCTCCGCATAGATTCCCCCCCCCCCCCCCCCCTCCAGCACTGGCTGGAGGAATGGACGGAGCAGTGGGCAGGCACAGCTGGCTCTGCCTCCATAGAGGCAGGGCCCGCTGTCAATCAGCCAGTAGGGTGGATCTCGACACTATTGTCCTGGATCTGTCCCAACTGTGGCGCAGCTCTGCACTCTCCGCATATAGTGGGCAATAGATAGTGGGTCAGTTCTTGAGCGATTCAGCAGGTATGTGACAGCTGCAGTGTCGCACACTGGCTCAAACTATTGGGAAGAGCACATTTTACTCTCCCAATACTTCTCCTTTAACATTTCTAGATTATTCCTATAACACCGCAAATCTTCACTTTTTAAGCTCAGGTTCACTTCAAGAAATTAAAATGGGAAGCTAAATTGTTGAATAAGCATTTAGAAATGAGTCAAGAAAAAAATGTCAAACATTTTATTGCTAGCCCCTAATAGTTTCTTCTGGTGCCGCATCTAAGGCAAGCCATTGTCACTTGGGCTATGTGTTGTGAGGCTGGAAGAAACCATTGGATGCAGTGCTTTTTTTGGCAGCACTGGAGTATAAATGTAAGGAAGGGTGGAGCACATGGAAATATGAACCTTTGTGGGATGTTGGAAAGTACTCTTCAGCAATCTCTTCTATTACCTGTTCATTCATGTTTATGATGTTATATACAGACCTAGATACTTAAGTTTTATTTCCTTTTTGTATAGGTCATGTTGATGCCTTTACTTCAAAGTTCTTCATGTTAGAAGAAGTCAGTGCACAAAAACTAAAGGAAAATGTCAGTGCCTTCAAGTAAGTGTGACTATATTGATTTGCTTTTCTTTTTTTAGTTGCAGATAAATGGACAGTCATCACCAAAAAGTGATGATATACTTACAGGGGGAGGCTAATGGACTGAGTCACTCAAAGACTTGGTCCACCTCCCAGGTACTCAAGTGGTGAGATTCCCTCACTACGGTTGCTGGCTGTATTCCTGCTTACCTTGTAGTTTTGTGGGTACCCACTCTGGTGTATTCATACTTCTATTCCATTCTCTTGGCTATAAAATACATGAAAATCCAGAAGGAAGAGCAGCTTATGTGACATGTGGCTGCCTGTGGGGAAGACAAATCTGTTGTTTAAATTTATAAAACGGTACAATGTACCATTAATAGTAGACCTTGCAAGATATTAAAAAGTAGTCAAGTAAGATATGTTGCTTCTTTGAAATGCATCATATTTTTCAAGAAAATCAAGTTCCATTCATTTTTTGGCCTCTAGCAGGAAATGAAACCTCTCTCTTAAAATCTCCTGCTTCTGTGGGTTTCTTACACCCACAAGTTATTGAACACAATGCAGTTATGTCTTAAGGTGCCCATACACTGCTCGATTCTAGTACGAGAATCGCGGGAAATCCCACGATCGTACAAGAATCGAGCAGTGTAAACGAAGACGTGCGACCGTTTCTACTGCACGGTCGCACGTCTTTTGTCTAAGGAGCACGCTAGAAAACCAGCCGAAAATCGTACGATTTTCGGCTGGTTTGAACGATGCTTGGGAGACAAATGCCGAACGGGCTTGCGATGATCGAGAGTACGATCTGCCTGTCCAAGATGGGCAGATCGTACCTTTTTTAATCACTTTACAACCATCGCAAGACCTAAGGTCTTGCGATGGTTGTACAGTGTATGGCCACCTTTAGACTGACTCCTATCCATCTGCAAAGCCTTTATTGGAAACTTTCCCACAGCTTCTGGGTGGCTGGATTGTATCCTTCAATACAGGGTTCTGCTGTAGCTTATAATCAAGTAAAGAAACCATAAGAATATGTAACTTGATACTATTGGGAGGTCTCCTTAACATATTTAATTTAGGTGACGGCCCATATGTGTGCATGCTGCATTCAAATTTGACTGACGATATACTGACGATATATTCAGCAGCACCAGTAGGAGCTGGCTGCATGCTAATTGTAGACTAGCGGAGCCCATGGTGGAGTGATGTGTTACCAGTGGTTATCCAAAGCCAGCCCTCATTGAAAGTTGTTGTATTTGTATACTAGCAAAAGCGAACCCATTTCAGAACAGGGTTAGTTTTAAAGCCCAAAAAAAAACAGCTTCCTCTTGCAGTACTGTAAAGGTTAGCAGTTCGTTTATATCTATGGGTATTGTGAAGAGGACATTTACTTACCTGATCCTCATTCTTCCCGCAGTCAGTCCTCACCTCTCTCCCTTACGCTCTAGCTCTTGGGAGTGTCCCTTGGCATCCTCATGTATAATTAAGGGCTATTGATCCTGCTTAATACATTATGATGTCAGCAGACCTCTGATCGCTATGGCGAAGCGAGGGAGAGGCTGCGGGCACTGGACTTAATAAAAGCTAGGTGAACTGGAAACTGTACTCTTTCTAACTTTATAAAAATGATGTTAAAATGACCAGGATGTGTAGTATGATAAAATGAGAACAGCCTCACCATGATATTCACCTCCTAGGATACAATATTGTGTTATGTTTGTTTGCAGCTGGAAGCATTATTAGTGCTTTGACTTGGGGTGAATATCTCATGCGTGTAGAAAATCGTTAGGATAGTCAGAATTTATGTTTTACCAGTTAAGTAATAGGGGATTTCCTAACCTGCTAATTCTCCAGAAGTGGTGCATTTAGGCTTTCAGACAGCCAAACCTGATATTTTAATTATAGGTGGAACTTGCTGTGCTGAGTCATCCCATTGATCCTTATGTGTCTTGGAAACTTAACAAGATCTTCCTGCCAAAGTTCCCATCCACCTACTGAACTTGGGTGTTGCCACCCAACTTTTTTTTTTTTTTATCCCAACTTTTTCTATTGCATTTTCCATAACATAAAAAAAAAATAATCCAATAGGGAGACAGGGCGTCCCTCATAATGGCCGCAGCAGGTGTGCAGACTCAGGAACTCAAGCGCAGATGTCTCCCGAGCGGTAACAAAAATTGTAAACTGGTTTTAACTATAAGTACCAGATATTGAAAATCCTTTAATTCCTTCTGGAAAGTTTTATTAGTAGATGTGAGCCTTCATTTCTAGCAAAAATATGCATGTTCCAGAACAGGAAGATTTGGGGAA